TTCTATGTCTTCTGTATATATTCCTGTGGACATTTGCTGAAGGTTTTGTGCAATATAACTGCCTAGCTACAGCCAAGACACTGTCCATAGTCACCCATCTGTTCATGAATATTGCTTAATATAATAGAAGCGTTTCATGGAAAAACTTGTATAGTTTGGACTATGGGTTCTCTGACTGTTGACGTGTCTTTGTAACTTTACCAAAGTTTGAAGTATTCCTGTTCTTTGAGAGACAAATTCCAGGAGTGTAGTTATGATTGTTAGAGCAAACCAAACGAGTAGCTCAAGGTTGCTGAACTAGAACTCTTGACATCCCCCCCCCCATTGCAAGATATTAGTATCTATTGGAAATTGTAGCTCAGCAGTTCTATTGTGACATAAGCCCTTATAAAATGCATGTTAACCATCAGCAAATGTCATAATTAATATTTTAATCCTTAGTCACACATGACTTCTTTCTTGTTTGATAACAATTCATTAATGAGAAATATGGTAGCTGTTATTTTCCACTATCTTATATTCATTAAACATTTGAGATAAGCTTTAAAATTTATTAGTGTGAGAGAGTTGGGGAAAGGAAATTCCTTCTCCAAATCCAAGATACAGATTGTTTCCTGATTTATAAAACAGCAACTTTTCCCATTCCCTTGGAACTGTAAATGGTCATGTTTTCTCTGACATACTAGGACCCCCAATTGGCAGAGTTCTAATGTGCTCTATAATTAGGCTGAGATAAAAGTAGTTAAAAAGAAATTCTTGGATTACTCCAACTTTCTAGTCCAAATGAAATTAGAATTAATATAAATTAGTGTAAATGAGGCCAGCAGTACAAAGTGAGCAGACAAAGTAGCTGTTGTGGTGAGCTTGGCAATAAATGCAATGAATATTATATAGCATTAGCACTTAGCCTTATATACCACTCCACAGTGCTTTACGGCATTCTCTGAATGGTTTACAGAGTCAATCTATTACCCCCAACAATCTGGCTCCTCATTTTACTGACCTCAGAAGGATGGAAGGATGGTCAGGATTGAACTCCTGGCAATGGACAAAGTTTGCCCGCAATACTGCACTTTAACCCTTGCACCACCAGGACTTTCTATATAATTGCTGATACGATTTTTTTCCCCAGAAGATATGAAAACAGTTTTACACACCTTATTTACAGTAAGTAATATAAGGAGTAGCATTCTTTCTGAAAGACTGGGCCTGAAATTTGGGTTTCTCTTAGATTCAGAGCTGATACCAGAGTCATATACTTGCAAAAGAGAAGCCAAGTTTGACAGCATCTTCTTAGTGGTGTTACCCCATTCTGAGTTGCTGAATTACGGGCCATCAGCAAGGCTTGCAGCCTGATCCAAGAGGGCAGAATTTTCTTTTAAGAACATGAAGAACAGTACTGTAGGCTTCTTTGGGTGTAATAAAGGCGGTATACTCTAAAGCGGAGTGTCACTCATTTCCATAGAAGAGAGTTTGGCACCTCTGATTGCAGCCTGATGTGAAGCCTCGTTTTTTCTCCTCTCATTTCATGCAAGAGGAATAATTTTTCTTAAGTATTTTTATGTATGTACACATTTAAGTTCATCTAATCCAGTGGTTCTCAAGCTTTTTAATGCCGCGACCCCCAACCGGTCGTAAGTCGAGGACTACTCAACTGGTCGTAAGTCAAGGACTACTCAACTGGTGCAGCACCGTTTGCAGAATGGGACTTTTGGCGGGCTCAGCAGGGCAGAGACAGCCTGGACAATTCCTATTGGCTTTTGAAAGCCAATAGAATTAGACTCTATTCAAGAGAGTCTATTCTATTGGCTTTCAAAAGCCAATAGAATAAAAGGAAATAGCACAGCTATAGAAAAGGGGGAAAAAATGGCGGACTGCATTGTTTGGCGACCCCCGTGAAATGGTCGTTCGACCCCAAATGGGGTCCCAACTCACAGGTTGAGAACCACTGATCTAATCCTTAGATGTTCTTTCTGTTTATTTAATTACTCCTAAATTAAGAAGAACTTTTTCCTCCTTACATTTTTTGCATATGTGTGTGTATGTGTATGTATAATCAGATATAAACAGTCTTATATATTTGCCAATCTTTGTACTATTAATGACAGATTAGAAATTATTATAATATTTTCTTTGTTTATTTTAACTAAAGATTTGGAGGACATATAGGTATGTACAGTAGTTCATCTTCGTCTTCTCAATCAAGAATTAGGCTGTTGCATCAAAATCTTGGCAAAATAATGCAACTTGGAAAACGAACTACAATATGTGATAGAAAGAGACAATCAGAATGTAATGGTGTGATCCCCAGAATGTTTGTTAATATTGCACGTTTTTGGACGGAAGTGAATAATCACATTGGATAGAAAGCAAACCTACCTAAGATAACTTGTAAGAAGAGAGCCACGTTAGTCTTTGGCAGGCAAAGATACTTTGTGAATTTTAGTATCTAGGAAGAGCTATCTGCTGGGGATGCAAAAGGCAAGGTTGCTGGCCATGTTGGCTAAGATCACATAATTGAATGCAAAACTGTAGGAATGGGTGAGCTAATTCTAGGCCAGAATGCCTAGAATTTGGAGTTAAAATGATGGGATAGAATTAGCTGACAGAAAAGATTTGGGTTCCCAAAGGAGTAAGCAGGTAACTAATTTTTTTTTAAAAAAAAATCTAGGAGCAATGAAAAATTGTGAAAAGCTTTAGGCATGAAATGAAAAGAGCTACATGCTATTGTGTGTGCATTGATGAAACAAGCGAATCAGAAAAGAGTAAAGAAGGTTTGGAAGTGTTGTTACTGGCAGGGCTTTTTATTGTTTCGGAAAGAATTTGACATCCTCTTCCATTAATGTACCTAGTTTCTTGGAAGCAAGGACAATTGTATAATCTGAAATTCCTGTGAATTACAGGTTTCTTGAGCTCCTTTTTTGTTTTAATGTCTAAATTATTTCAGGGTGAGAGTAGTGAGAAGTCATGAAAGTTTCCTCTTGCACTGGATTAGCCAAAGGACTCTGAATCAACATCCTGTGCCAGCATTTGATTTTTATCTTCATCAAAAGTTGCTTGGCAAACAATTGCTGCTCTTTTTTGTGTGTGTTTTAAAATATTCTTCCCTTCCTTTCTCTTTTCTTTCATGCATATAATTTCTTTGATCTGAAAAATACCTTACACCAGTTTTCTGCTCAACATGTTGAATAAAATCCTTTCGTCAGATTTTTTTTCTGGCTTGATAGACATACCAGTTCATTGAGGTGGGAAAGCAATAATTATTCTTTCTTCATATTTCCTAGCATATAGCTTTATCCATACCAAGGGGCCAGGATAAATAAACTGCATGTGATTTAGATATAAATATTGTACTTTAAATGCTAAGGCTTGACATTAATTTATTCTAGGCATTCTTTTTTCACTGACTTTTCTTCGGTCATTAACTTTCCTTAAGACCTGCGTTTAGTATTAATTGTTTTTATTTTGTTTCTCCTCTATCTTTTAAAATCCTTTTTATCTTATGCAGTCACAAATATTGTAAATCCCTTTGAAGTATTTAAAATACTTTTAATAATTGACAAAAACACTTCATATGTTTACTCTTTTCCTCCAATCTGATAATTTTGGATTTGGGGGCATATAAAAAAAAGTTTTGGAAGCTGTATTCCATCCAGAGGTTGTGTATCTCTGGCTCATATAGTGAATGAAATGCAAAAGTGGTATAATAATAGAAAAAAAGATGATCACCAGCTTATTGCTTTAAAGCTGAAGGAATATGATGCCTGGGCAAATGTTTAACCAGCTTATTGCTTTAAAGCTGAAGGAATATGATGCCTGGACAAATATTTATATATATATTGACATTAAATTGAGATACAGTCACTTACATGCAGGCAGTCCCAATTTTTTTTTCATTCTTATTTCAAAAATATGAATTCCCCCGTGTCTTTGTTTTTCCTTCTTCTCTGCTTTTGCATTCTAGATTGACATTTTCAGTGTTCTCTCTTGCACAATTCCAAGTTAAGAGAGGAGAGGTCAACAGCATGTCACCTCTGACTTAGATCCCATCAATATAGTAGTAAACATAGACCATTTTGCTCCAATATGTATTGCTTTTGACATGTACTTGGAGCTGCATTTATTATATGTTACATTTAATGCATCTCTTTTTTGGAGGGGGGCATTATCCAGTACATTTGAAGTTAGTTGCAATTTTGCTTTAAAAGGTTTAAAATTTTCTCGATAATTTGGGGTTGTTGGATATGATTATGAGAAGAACAAGAGCAGTGACTTTAATTAGAAAAAAAATATGATAGCATGGTAACAAAAGAACAAATGGTGGATACTGTAAGGATTATAGCTGGTGAGGCAGGAATCAGAGAAACAGAATCTTTGTATATTTATAGAACAGGTAGATTACAATCTCCATGCTGGAAAAAGAAAAGTCAGAGGTTATTAGCCTGAAAGGGAAGATGTAAGATTTAAAAGTGAGGTTGACAGATTTATATATTGTGCGATTTTATTTCCTGCATCTGACAGATCTTCTCCATAAAAGTGACTTCTTTCTCCTTTGCAATAAAGGACCTAAACTAGCAGCACTGAATTATTGAGATTTCTACTGTTATTTAGATGTGAATGCAGAGATATGTTTTAACCCAATTCCATAATGTTTTAGCAGCATACAATATTAAAAGCAATTTGACATAATATAACAGTGAAGAATGATAAATAATTTTAAGAAAGATCTTCAAAAGTTGAGTGTGATAGTAAGAGCAGAAAAGCCCAAATTCAAATCTATCTTCAGTGGCAGAAGCTCATTAAGGGGCTTTGAGTCAGTCAATCTCTTTCAACTCAGCCTAATGTCACAGGATTTTGGGAGAGGAGGAGGGAGATGAGAGGGTGGAATGCTATAAAAGAAAGATAGGATATGAATCTAATAAATAATTAGCAATTGTGATGCAACCTTTCTGAAGTTGATCTATCACAAGCTAACTAAAATTGTTTCCTTCTATCCACAGAAATTCCTGGATGCCCTGGAATGGTTGAAAGTTGAACGGATAAAGTACCCCATCACCCTTTGCAACTTGCAGAAGCTTGTGAAGAGATGAATTCAAGTTCAGCCATATTTCTATCGGGATGGGAGAACTACACATTCCTTCAAAGAAAGGACAAAGGAATGAGCAGACGGAGTAAGCCAAGACTCCAGATTGTGAAACATGAGGAATCTGCAGTGAATGAATCTTTCTGGGACCCAATTAGGAGAAACCAAATTCATCGTGTGAAACTACTGCTTGAGATTGGATTGGTGGAACCTTCAAGTGCAATAATGAAAATGCTTTCATGAAGCTGAATCATATGAGTTTTCAGAAGCAGGGCAAGAGTTAAAACAAGCTTTTACAACCCCACAGGAAAACTCAAGGAACTGAAAGCTTGGGAATATGCTTTCCCATATTATTCTTAGTCTACTAATAAAAAGGACACATAACATCAGGCTTTTTAGCTAGTGGATTGTTAGGATTGGAACCAGATCTTAGTGCAGTCCATGATAATCACAAAATTAGGAAAACAGAAAATAGCCCTGGAACTCATAAACAGGGAAGCACTATTAAAATGGGTTTACAATGCATTTTCAAACTAGTTTCTATTCCTGCAAGTCTTTAGAGAGCCAAGTTGTACCACATAGTTTCAAAAACATTACTCAACTTTTATTAACTTTTTAATTAACTTTTACGCAGCATTTAGATAATCATTTTTTCCATCCATTTTCAGCAACAAAGACTTCTGCCCACTTTCCTTTAAAGAATAACTGAAAAAGGACATGGTTGGAAGACAGTTCTTCTCTCTTTTTATATGTATAAATGTTATCTCCTTCTCATGTCTTTCTCTCTACTTTTAAAAAACAAACAACCTTTATATACATCTGTTACTGTTCCTTTCCTTTCTTTTCCTTTCCTCTCCTCCTTGCTTCTCCTCTCCTTTCATCCCCTTCCCCCTTTCTCCCCTCCCCCTTCCTCATGAGAAGGGACTGAATTCTTCTTTTGGATATTGAGAGATCTGGACCTTTCTGCTTGATTTGTGCAAGCTCATGAACCCTTCCAAATTGCTGTCAAAAAGGGAAGATACTGAATATGAAGTGGAGCAAAACAGTGGATCACCAGAGAAAGCCTTGGGTGAGAAGTACAAATTGGTTAATGGAAAGACCTCAAGGCAGAAGAGAACCTTCAAAACTGTGGTTTTCTAACAAGCCTTCATTACCTATAGGTTAATAATTCTGAGACATAAACTATTTGATTTCAAATGTAAAGTGTTTCAGCCTTGAAAGTAATACTCAGCTTTAAACCTGGAGAAGATTCTTACTCCTGATTATTTGACCTTTGTCCTATGAGATGAGAGTGAGGATCCCACTGTCAGTCCCTTCCCTGCCAGCCAACTCAACACTGTGCAGTTGATCAATGAAATAAGTGGCAAGAGTCCCTCTTTTTCCCCAACTGCCCTTTTTACAACTGAGAGACACATGCCACTCATTGGTCATGAGTGGCTTTTCCGTGATTTTTTAAAAAAATGCCTGATACTCTTCTGTGAATGAGTCAAGTTTACGGAAGTAGTTTCCCATCTCTTCTACATGGATTTCATGTTCAGTGTTGTGCAGAATTCTTCACCTCTTCTGATTTGAGAGAAGGAATTCCTGTCCTATAAACTCTGAGAAAGCTATCCGTCTGCACAGAAGCTTTGGTTGACCAGTGATTGTATTGTAGTTTGCACTCGAGGATAGTATGCACATGTGAACCTCTACGCATGATCTCTTTAGCGCCTTCATCTTTCAGTATCGTGTAAGAGGGAGAAGCAGAAAAAAAATTGGACTCTGCCTGGCTTTCTTGTGTTTTTTTTTTCTTTTTTGCTGTGAAATTGACATACAATGGGCTTCCATCAGCACTGCTCTCCAGTTGTGAAATGTATTTATTTATTTATTTGTGATTGTATTGTAAGAGCAACTTGCAGAGTTTTTCTGGCTTCTTAGGGCTCCTCGCTAAGAAGAGACAGTGATGAAATCCATAGAAAGATACTGGCTCAACCAAAATAAAAATGAACCTATTGCATGGTGATGTCCAGAATCTATAGAGATTCATCCAGGTCTACCAGCTACTGTTTTCTTTATACTATACAGATCTAGACACATTCAGGGAAGAACTTAATGAAAGATACTGATAACCAACATCCTATTGGTTCTTTTCCCCTTACTACTCCATTAGTGATGGCACTTGCTATTAACCTTTGGGCCAATTAATCCACAAACTGGACTGTATTCCTATTTGTGGACTTTACAATGCATGTGATTATGCTGATCAGGAGGGAACATAATAATCTTTTCTCCCCATGACATTTTTCCAACTTTAAACATGCAATTTGGCAAGGGACAGGAAAGCAAAAAGATTCCCCACTCCCTCCCAGTAATTTTCTTGCAGATCCCTAAGAAACCAGCAAATGTAGTTTAGTTTGAGGGCACAGTGGAAGCCCAGATCACCTTCTTAACTGATGCCTGGCTTCAGATGGAGAGAAATGAAGGCTTTCCTCCACTCCCAAGAATTTAGTTGCTTGATTACGGAGGGTGAGAAGGAAAGAAAGAAGTCACAGGAATCACCACTGATGACTGGCCGCCAGCTATGATGACGTCCGTGTTAACAAACCAGTCGAGTGGTGAGGGGACTAGATTAATCCTAAGAATCCAGGATACATTTTCAAATAGAGTTTTTCATATGGGATGGGAAATGTGAGTGGGTATTCCTGTCATTCTGGGAACTGCATGTGTCTGTGGAAAACCTACTCAAATAAGAAGCAGCTTGTTGGGGTGTAGAGCATTTCATTCAAGGACAGGGTGCAAAAGAAAGGGTCAAGCTTTTTCCTGATGCTGAAGCTTTGATACAAGCTAGGCTTATAAATAGCTGTGGTTTTTTAAGAAATCCACTAGATTTTCCTATTTAATGGAACTCTTTGCATCATTCTTAAATTAACTTAGGATATTTCTCTTGCAGAAAAAAGGTTGACTAAACACAAAATCTCCTTAGAAATATTTGAATGTTTGCTTGTGGTGTGAACTAAGAAACAACAACAGCAACAGATTAAATGAAGAGCAACTCTGACTAAAAATATTTATTATTAAAGAATCTAGACAATTGCAGAACATGTATTGTGGCTATTACAGGCTATATTGAGAAACTAAACCAAAGAGATTTTATTTAATCACCAGATCTGCAAAAACATATCACACATACCAATAAACATTTTGGAAATTTAGACAACAGATTAGCTATTCCTAATCTTTAGGAAGTAAGTCTTGATTTCAACTTCTAGTTACTAAAAGTGGTTGATGTGTTGGTTAGATAGCATTTCTGGGAATCTAAGTTTAAAATGAATCCATGTCCTTGAAAATCAGGATTGCTAATTACATTGTTGTTCCTGTCCTTTCAAACCATCTGTTTTTAAGATATTCGTGTCTTGCTTGGGCTGAGGAAAGTTTTTATTTTTATCTAGAAAATATAAATCCCCAGATGTTTTAGACAATATTATCATATTGTCATCAGCATAAGAACCTCTTAAAGGTCACAGGCATCTCTTCTGAATCCTGGAAGGCTTTGCATTTGGGGCTCTTGATGCATAATCTACATCAAAGTGTAGGATAAGATATTATCTGTAGTTTTGGAACTGGTTTTGAGTGAATATTTATTGCTTTAGAAGGAGATTTGTTTAATTGGGATGGGGCTCCGTTCCAATATCAGTCACCTACATTAATCTCAAACAGTAATGGAAGGGGGGAAAAAAACACAAAGTCTTTTCATCTTTTCAAAATCTCACAGATCTCTAATAAAATTTACAGAACCATTAAGTTATAGTTCAGGCTTTACAAGTGAGGAGCCCGTTATCTCTAATGCTGGTGGTTATACCTGCAGGTGTAAACGTGGTTTAACTTCTTTTCTTTTAAAACTATAAAAGTAATCGTTATAATGGTCCTTTTTAAAATTAGTAGCAATTGCTGATGTTCTTCAGAGTCCATTACAGCTCTGCTACTTCTCATGAATTCCAATGTGTTTTGACAATAACCATTAGCTATGCATTATCTCCTGTTAACAATGTACATGAAAATGTAATGTGTGATTATCACCTAAAAGGTAACTTTTTCTGAAGCACACACAAAATATATAAAGGTGTCACAACATACATAAAAGAATATACCCATGTATAGGGTAGCTTATCATAAGCAAGCTAAATAATCCAAGAGCTGCTGCCAAAAACTATGTGCTTTGAAACTTCTGTTAAAGGGTTCTTGAATTTCAGTTTTGCACAAATGCAAATAGCCTACAAAATACCTACACTTCTGCAATGCAAACTCCCAGGCATATAATTATATCCTCTGTCACACTTTTGGAAGATGAATACATGAGAGCATAGAGTTCACCCAGGGTGGAATATGGAAATCAAGCTTCCGGAAGTTTCATGGGATGTTGTCACGCCATCCTTGGCAAGAATATAAGTTGTGCATAGGAGGGAATCACCTGTTAAAGAATAGCAAAGAGTCAGGCAAGTGATTCACAATGACCAGGATCAGCAATAGTTAATTCAGTAGTATAAAAAAGTATGAGAAATGAAAGGAATGGGGTTAGAGCCACATTGCAGAAACCGTAAACCTCAACTAAATGTTTTGCTGTCAGACTGGATGTAATGCATGTAAAAAATATAAAGAATTGACATCATCAGCCCTAATTGCCATTCCACCCAGCTGTTCCTAGCTAGTCTTTTAGCACTTTCTTACAATGCTCTCATAGCCTTTTACCAAAATGGTGAACCTTTGGCAGCTTTGTTCAGTCAAATCAAGAATATCAGCAAACACATGAGAGATTGTTTTTTTCAAATTCAGCCAACTGGCATGCAGTAGATGTTGATCAGTACAGTGGCTGCCGTCATGCCTCACCTCTTAAGTGAGGGAGGAAACAAAAGAACAGGCAGAAGAGCAAGGGTAGCATCCTCCAAATGTCACTGTCATGTTATCTTCAGCAGGGAGACAGGGATCAAAGTTACACAGGGACCTGGGGCACAAGCTCTAGTTCAAAACATGAAGATGGTAATCACTGCCAAACTTGGAGCCTGAATGCTGAACTCCACTTTTTCCAACTAAGATAAATGCCTGTATTGGTAGATGTCATAGGCTTCTAAGTAAAAAAAAAAAGGTTTGGTAGCTTCTGTTATACTTTGGTTTGATTTCCAAAACAGAAACGATCTAAAGTCCCCTAATGCATTTCTGTCTCTTTAAATAATTTCCTATGAATCCCCAAAGTCAAAAGTCCAAAAATTCTCCATAGGGCCGGGAAATAATTGTGGGTTTTTAAGTTGCTTTAAGCACATGACTACAATAAAACTGCCAGCTTCATCCTTTCGTGATTAGATGTGCAAATGTAAAATATTGCTGTTTAAATGGTCTTGATGAGAGCGCATAAAATTAATTTATGTACTGTGGCTTTTCATCAGCTGACAAAGCCAACACTGCTTGCAGACATGCCATCCCTGTGTGGCTTTTTTTTATTAGTATACTTAATCTTTTCAAAAGAAAAACAGCTGGTCTTTGCATGCAGGAAATGTGCTCATCACTCATTGCAGTCTCTTCTTGCCTGCTTGTACGTTTTAACTGATTCTGTGCCTTTGCCTCTGCAATTGTTCACACAAGGTTGGGGGGGGGAGGAGGATAAACAGCTCAAACAATCCCCTCCCGATTTCTAAATCTGTGTGTCTCCTGAGCCTTAAGAAATCAGAAAAGAAGCTCTCTCAGACCTATACTCTGAAAGTTGTGAACCAGGGTAACTTGAACTAGACATCTAGTTATTTTATACCACAAGCAAAGGAAACTAGAGAGTATTTCAGAGGAGAGGTTTTTTTTTTTTTTTCCTTTCATCGCTTCTTGAAGTTCAGAAGTAGAAGATACTTCCAGTAAGATTTGTGGTAAAACTTCACTTTGGTGGCATTTCCAGAGAACAATGCATTTTCTGTGAGTATAATAAAAGTCGCTTTCCATGGGATAGGCAGCCATGTAAATTTGCTTAATCAATCAATCAATCAATCACACACAGTTAATTAGTGAAAGCCCTCAAATCAAATGTGATGTTCCAACCAGACTTGCTATCTCAGCACTTTCAGATTAATACCACTGCTCTAAAAAGACAGAGAAAGAGAGCAACTATTATGTGAGTATCAGACACTATGATGCATAATAAAAATCTTTCATTAAAAGAATGTAGTCACGTGTACAAATGAAGTCTGAACAAAAACCATTGAGTGAAAGTATTCTAGACTGATGGGAAAATTCAGTCTGGAGAAAGAAAGGCTTTTCAAAGATTTGAAAGGCAGATCACTCAGATATCTCTGTCCAGTAATCGAAAACAAATAAAAAAAAGCAGTTTTTCATTGGTGGCCATGGGGACTCATTGCTTTAAATGAAACAAATGACACATTTACTCCATCTTGTGGCAAGCTCCGCCTCATTCGGATGTGCATAGAATATTGTGATGCACATAAAAAGGGACCAGGACATGCACCGTGTTAGTCCCACTAGGCAGAAAGGACAAGAAATCAATTCCATGGCAAGACTAGAACTTCACTTTTTGAGATGGGTTATCATAGCAGAGTCCTGTGAGTTTGCTAGTGTGGTATCTCTCTTTCTTCTCATAACCCACTGAATAAAGGAGACGTTTTCCTGAGCTGCTTTTACATACTACCTTGCTCCTAGGACTTCAATAATGTTTCACTCCTCTTTTCTTAGGAAATGATTCTTGCATCTTTCTGTTAAGGTCATCTGCCTTACTCTCGGTGCACTGTGAGGCTGCAATGCCACCTTGTTTCTGTTGCCAGTCTGACCATCATCATCCTCTTACCCTGTGCTGAAAATGCTGCTTAGTTGATTATGTTGAACTTAAGGGATCCTGTTGGGCTTTAGTTGCCATTCTATCTTAATATCCGGTAAAATGCTAAGAAAAACTTCCTGTTGGGAAACACCTGGCTTGGCAGGGGAGGAGGGATCAAACACAGAGTTAGCCTGGAGTCACTATGCAACCCCAAAAGAACTGTTCCCCAGGTTCCTTGGAAACTTATCTAATTGCTGCCAAGAGTAGTCTGCCAGACTGGGGAGATTCCTATATTCTATGCAGAACATAACAAAGTAGTTAATTTGAACATTCCATGTGTGGATCTGGTTGTTCACCTCTGACACCTCCTAATGATAAAAGCACTTCTGCAGTGAAACCAAGAGGTCATAGAGTTTCCTTTTTATTCAAACAGAAGCTGTACAGTCATCCATCGGGGATGTTTTAAATCAGTTTTACGCTTGGTTCAGTTTTGATGGATCTAGGGGCATGATCATATCACTGACCTGAAACTTTTTAAAGCAACCATGTCTTTGCTCAGCATCAGTGACAGTGACAAAAAGAAGCACATAATTCCTGGAAAAGGGATTAGTTTGATCAGGCAGTAACACCAGGCAGTATCAGAGGTAGGAGATAGGACAGGCCACTCTCAGGGAAGATGTGTTCAATATCTTGTACTGTTTCCTCCTTCTAGTCCCCTGAGCTTAACCTCAGTGCCTCATGGTTGAATCTCAGCAAGTAGGAAATGTTTATTGACATCTGGGAGGTTCTTGTGGACCTTCAAAGTTTCTGCTCCACAAATAAGTAAATGTGAGATTCTGTTGGTGAAGTTGGGCTCTAGACAACAAATGAGACTGCTGCTACTGTACTAGCCTCTTTGCTGCACAGCAGTGTCTCTGCCAGAGATGTTCAATATTATAACTGGGTTGGCAATGGAGTTTCCCGGTCTTATAGTTTGGGGAAATTTCATCCTGCTTTTCCTTGGCACAAAGTCTTAGATCCTATATTCCAGAGGACAATCCTTTTGGGTTATCTAATACATATTTTGTATTATAAGTACAGAAGCAACAACAAGGGAAATATCAATCTGAGGGTTCATTGACTGTTACCATAAAGATAGAAAATCAAGCATAGATATATGTCAATAGGTCATGTTTTAGATAAGAACTATTATTTCTGATCTGTATTTCTCAGTTTGTGCCCAGACAGATGCAGATATATGTTATCCATACCTACAATCACAGAGCTGGAAGAAGATGTTCTGCTCCAAACTATTCATTAGCTTGTACAGATGTCTTCCTTCCCCGTTGTCTGTTGAGGCTTTCACTGTTTCTTTTTTTTTTTTCTGTTTTCCTATAACGCTCCACTTTTTTTTCATTCCTCACTGTGGCTTTCTGGAAGAGACTGCAAGGTTGATGACATAAAAATATGTGGTAAAAATTGACATGGTGTTTATATTAAGAGAGAAAGTCAAGCACCACTGTGGGATGTTGGCTATTTGTATGAGCCATATGTCATCATCATTGCAAAGATTGGTGCTTAACAATAAATAAAACAAGGGCAAGACATATTTAATTCAACTTTTGCCTGAAATAAGTTCTACAAAAGTAAGGCCTGGGAGTGAGCCTTATTAAAGATATTGAGGAAACAGTGACATGGCCTCTAAGCATATTCTTGTTTGAAACTGATTTGCTTTCCTTGCACCCACTCCTCAAGTGGTTGCTACTAGCAAGGGTAATAAAATAAACAGGATGATAGATCAGGAAGTTTCAGTAATATTATGGACAAGTAACACTCTTCCTTTTTCATCACATGAAATACAAAACAAACATACATGCTACCTCTGATGCAAATAGCATTATGCTCAAGATATTTTATTGCCAAACATTTTGTAGTCTAAATATTACTTGCTATAAATTTCAGGAAATCTAGATGAGCAATTCCATTTCTTTCATGTATGCTTCCCTTATCAGGTTTAACTGCTGATGACAAATGGGTATGTGTTTGTCTTGCTTTCTAATATAAAAATGAAAGCTTGGACAAGATTGTTTTTGCAGGACATGTTTCATGGAGTCTAGGAAACTGTCTTCTTCTAAAGATAACTTTTTCAATTTTGAAATATGTTGGGTCTCCTGGAGAATATTGTCATGCTGGACATAATTGTGTTGCTTTACTCTTATTGTCAAATTTAACTTAATGCTGAGATCTGTAACTCACAATCCTTTCTTTTGCTGGTGCAATTGAGAAGCAAATACAAAAGAAAAGCTGCAAGTTATGCAACTTTATTATTTTAATCTATATGGAAGAGTTTAAAATTGATAATTGTTTTTTGCACTACTTTTGTCTTAAGAAGGAAGTGGAGGGGGAGAATTGATCACTACAACTCTCATCAGAGGCAGAAATGAAGAGGACATCCACTGTCATTACTAAGCCTTGCCTATATGAACTCCATGTCCATTCCAGAGGCATTAGTTAAATGTCTTCTTTGTAGCTAGAAGGATTTTTCAGAAGGAAAAAGAAAAAAGAAACAGAGAAGGAATAAAAAGGGGGAAATGCACAGTTAACAGAATAACAGAGTGGATGTGCTCAGATTTAGAAAGGGCTGTTATTCATTCATTCATTCATTCATTCATTCATTCATTCATTCATTCATTCATTCATTCATTCATTGTACCTGAACTTCATATCAGATATAGCTTTGCTGGTCATCATACCACTAAGCTGCTGACCAAGCATTCAGAGAGGCAAAATGGGGAAGCCAATAAATGCTTTTCACAAACTCATTTCCTCTAGTTATCCCCAATTTAGATCAAGAAAGGCTGTGCAGTAGGAAAGTTGAAGCCTGACATGGCTGAGATCTTCAAGTAAAGCAAGAAACTTGATTACTGAGTGCTGGAATTTTGGTACTCCTCCATTTTCATGGCCACCATTACCTAAAATGACAAATTCTTGTGGATGACTCCTGCTGCAACAATAATGATATGACTACAGATAAGTTTTAAAAGGTACAGGCCAGACTGGATTACACTTTGAACAACTCAGTATTATCTATCACTTCAGGTAACCATCTCACCCTGTCTAAAAGTAGGACTGCCAGATGGATCTATATTGTGATCAAATGATTTTGTTAATTTCCAAATAATCTGAATTTAAGAGTGAATTAGCTGTGACATTTGCAGATAATATACATTTATTGACAAATAAACTCTCAGGTACTCTAAAAATAACTTTTGACCTGAATAATATTTTTTTAATAGTTTTCAGTTCACCAAGAGCAAAATGATACATATTTGGAATAAAATAAACAAAGAATTCTAGCAACTTTACATATATGCTAATGAGGTTTCCAGGAAATAGATCTTTAGATCACAGCAGGAAGCTTCTGGAAATGTAAGTGCAATTTGCCACACTGCTAAAATAGAACAAGTTCTCTGTTAAGGATTATTAAGAAAATGATTGGAAATAAAATAGCAAATATGATACTGCCACCCATTGAATTTCCACTGAACTCCCACTTTTAGAACCCTGTATATAATTCTGTTGCTTTTTTTTTCTAGAAAGCATTATGAAAAAGTAGAAAAAATGTAAAAAAAAATGGAAGTTAATGCACAGTAATGTATTTGTGAAATTTACGTCATTCTATCTTTCAACCTGAAAAAATAGGATATAATAGTTACATACAAATTTATGGAGAGAGTAAATAGTGAATTTGGCATGGTTTTCCAGAATACTTTAATTCAGGATCATTCAATAAATGATCAACACCAGAGTATATGAATAGAAGAATCCAGAACCAGACACATAATTTATGAAGTTTTTTGCCCAAAGATGCTGAAATAACCACTAGTTTAAGAAGTGCAGTATGCTGACTTTTTCCCAATTATTTTCTACAGTGTTTATATATTACCTTCAGTATTAATAGGCTTCTTTCTGGTTGCTTGGAAACAAGAGTCATGCTATTGTACTGATGTCTTGCTTGGACTTCTTTGGCCACAAAATTCTGGATTAGAAATTAGGTCTTTAGTTTCATCCAGCACTGTCCTTCTTAGGCCTACGAGGGACCAATTTACATAGGTGTCCTCAGTGTGGCATGGAAGTGGGGGTGGGGATTATGATGTCATTATGCAAATACTGTGACTTAGGTGCTTGCCGCATAGGATCTAATGTGAATATGTAAGTTGCTGCATCTATTTCATAATATCATTGCATGGGTCTTATCATATAATTGTCATTATGGTTGTGTTATGGGTGACATTGCCAGTCCAATATACCTAAGCTGATTTCTCTACCTGGTTTATGGCTGGCTGTACAGGGAATTCCAAAGACTGATCCTTAACCACCATAGAGTACCACTGTAACTTCAAAGGACTACTGAACGAATGCTTATAAACTGAGAATTACCTGCATATTTTTTATTCCTGCCTTTACCAGTCATTCCCATTCTATTTTTCCTTTAAACTGATTTGTTTTTTGCTTTTTAGCTAACTAGAAGCACACTGAACACATTTAGAATTTATTGGGCTGTTTCTTGGCATCTATCTGCTGTTTATGTTATTTATATTTCACCTTCCTTTGTAAAGCATGCATAATGTTCTACCCTCCTGTTTTCCCCACAACAGGGGGGGGGGGTTGAACTGATAGAGAGTGATTGGCCCAAACTCACCAAGCCAGTTTCTCCTCTTCTGAAGGGAAGATTTTTCAGTTCTGAGACCCCTTTTCTCAACTTTCTTTCCCTCAGAATCTTTTCACAGTTCTTTCTTGTATAGGAGGGTTGCCAATATTCTCAGTTGTTTATAAAAGTATTTTCAATGTTATTGCTAACTTAAAGAATATACAAAATACCCCAATTCTCCCCCTCAACCTGCAATTAATAAACAATAACTGATAACAACAGTTAAAACAAAAAGGAACAGTAAAAGAAAAAAAAACCTGTTTAAACAGTGTGATATACAATACCTTCATGTCATTCTTAGTTTCTAGAGATTTTATGAAAAAGACTGTGTAATATTCTTGACGAGATTTTTTACAAGTGGTTTGCCATTGTCTGCTTCCTAGGATTGAGCAAGGGTGAGTGGGCCCCAAGTCACCCAGCTGGTTTTCTGCCTGTGGCAGGACTAGAACTCACAGTCTCCCATTTTTCAGCCTCATGCCTTAAACCATTGCATCAAACTGGCACTCTATATCACATACTGTAGATACTAAATATTAAACATAGTATGAAAAGATCTAATTTAAAAGTAGAAAGTAAGAGTCTATTGTTGAAAAATATGGAATCTATGACAAGCATATCATTGTAAGGAAGAATATATCCCCTTACTTTCCAGGCTTGGTCTTAGTGATGCACATTGGGCCTCATCTGTCATCCAAATTGTGGAGGAAATTACAGTCAGACTTGGCATTCAGTAGTATGGAGATCATTACTCATCAAAGCTTCACTATCTGTCTTCCAAGGTCAGAAGGCTGGAAGCAGAGTTGGAATTAAATTTCCAGTTTCCCTTCCTTGAGGATGGCCTGCTTCCTATCATTAACTCTTCCTGCTTATCACTATTTCATTATTTTTCCCTTCTCTCTACACATTTCATGGCTCAACCCAACTGATGGAGAAATCCATTCCATCCCATCTTTTTCCAATCTTTCCATTTCCATCAGCAGCTCAACACACCTCATATCCATTTGTAGCCTTTTCCACCTCCCTACATCTCCAACCCAAACATCTCTTCTCCAGAGGCTGTTCTAACCCAAGACTAAGAACCTCCTGCAATCCAGAGAGACCTATTCCATTAGCTCCCTCCATCGCTGCAGCAACATTTTTTTTCTCCTTTGCAGATCAATTCAGGAAAGCTTTTGAATTTCTAGTTCATTCTATGTTGTAAATAATGGATTAAA